CAAGTAGGAACTTTGGCTCAAGTTGTTGATAAATCCTGGGCTCCCATTTCCATTTTCAGTAGTGCTTTGCTTATTTATAATCACATCCTGACATCACTTGCTCACCTCCAATTAATTTTTAAGCTTTCTCAGGGCAAAATCCCCCCTTTGTTGCTTGGATTTCTTTCTGGTGCTCACCTGATAACTTGACTAGGTTGATGCAAAGTAGGGGTGGGTTCAGGAAGGCTACTGACTCTGTTCTGAGGTCTTTGACCTCCAGCAGAATGTGCCTATGATAGCTTTTCCCAGGTGAGCACAATCCAGAGATGATTTATGTACAATAAAAGCCCTTTGGTACTTTGGACCAATTGAGTCTTTTTACCCTGCCTTTAAGGTATCAGTTATGATTGGGGAAGCTACTTTTTAAACACTTATTGAACAACTAGAATTTTTTGTTGGGCAGGGAAATTGCCATCATTCACTGTTTTAACCTCGTGGCAGGTGATATTGCTGCTGAAATAATTTCCTGCTATTCTCCCTAAACTCTCTGGAGAATTTTATGAGAGTACTTACAGCTCTCTTCTGTTTGGCAGATTGTTACAGGAATGCCTGTTATTCCTTCACATCTGAGTCATCGCCCACTAAACTGAGGCACCAGGTATTGGTGCTAATTTAACACTAGAGCTACACCAGGCAAACTATACCAAGCAAATAACGAATTGCCAAGATAGATTGAGGCATAAGGTTTGGGGAAAAGCCAGGGAGCTCATGTGTTAAAAGTATGAAGGAAGCTGAAAGTGTGGGAGTCCTAGGACAAGGCTAGGGGCCTTATAGGCTCTTTAAAGGTCTAGTTCAGCCTTTTTCCTCTTCTCTTGCAGACCAGTTCCTCTCCCCACTCTGGGGTGTCCAGGCAGGTGCGGATCAAGGCTTCCCAGTCTGCGGGGGATATAAATACCATCTACCAGCCCCCCGAGCCCAGAAGCAGGCACCTCTCTGTCAGTGAGTATTTTACTTCGTTTCCCTCCCTCATCAATTTTATCTGCTCACATTTAAAAAATTCTGACAAATACTTATTAAATAATCAGCAAATATATATATTATCTACCACTCTGTTAAGAGTAACCCTCTGTGCTTTTATTTGGGGAGAAGGGGTAGGGAAATGACTGGAATAATAAATTGACCTCAAGGATCTTACAATGTAATGATGTAACAGTGTGACTAAATTTCTTTTAAACATCCCTAAGATATCTCCTTCAAACAACTGTTTGAAGACTTCCAGAAGAGTAGTCACTTATTTTTTGACCATTCTTTTCCCAAAAGACTGGGGACTTAGGAGTCAGATCTGAATTTGAATTTTGACTTCTAACCTTTTGTGTATGATGCCCAAGAAGTCCTTATCCTTCTAGGAAGATGCTGGCTGGTGAAACTCAGAGAATCAACTAGGGTGTCTGGGAAAGGTAGAGTGTCGACATAGTATATACAATTAGCTAACTAGTGGGAAAGCTGCCAGGCCTCCCTGGAAAAAGAGCCTAAGTCAGGAATGTGCATTATACCAGATTATTATTATGTAGTAGTCTGGAGCCCCTTCCCCGTAGTTTGGCAAGAAAACTCTTTTCTTGAATTGTGAAATTCTTATTAAGAGGGAAATCTGGCCTTATCAAACATTAGGGTTGTACCTGCTACCCTGCTGTTGAGACCCCTCCTGCTGTCAGAAGCCAAGTTTGCCTTTTTCCATTAAAGTAGACGCACACTAACCTGAGCTGCTCTCTAAAGCACTTTAGCTGAGCTTGAGGAAGCCTAAGCATTGATTCTGCTGTTGAACCACCTTGTGAGTAAGGGAGTAGCAGGAAATGTGTGTTAGTCACTGACTTGGCCTCAGTGAGTACTTTCTGGAACCCAAGCAAGTGTTGGTAGAAAGTGTTGCTAAGCTGAATGGCTATAAATGAATTTCAGATTTTTGTAGTAACTGGTGGGTTTGTTTTCACTTAAGCTGTTTGAGGAGAAAGAGCAAGCATCCCTGGAACATAGGTGTCCTGGAGCCTGGGAAGCTCTGCCAGCTTGTCTCTTTTCCGGAGTCTTCATAAGGGTTATGGACAATATTGTTCTTTGTAATCAGCGAAGATTGACATGGAGCAGTAACTGAGCCTCTTGTCTCGAAGCAGAAACTGTGATTTGTGTATGGAGGCAGTGGTTAAATGCTGGGCCATTTGGACTCTGTGTAGAGAGCCATATATAAGATTTTAATGTAGTTTCTGTTTATTTAGAAAGTGAGCGATATAGCCTCTCAGTCCCTAGATCCTAGCTTCCTTCATTCAGCAAGCATTTATATACTCACCGTTGGGCTAGGACGAATGTGACAATGGAGCATGTTTTGGAAAGGTAAGGATGGTAGGAATACAGCAGAGATAGTCACTGGCTGCCCACAAGGAAAGGGTATTCAGAGCTGAGGGAACATGAGAGCTGACGTCTAGAAATTTTCTGAGTATGAAGTAGAGGCAGATATTACAGGCACAGAAAAGAGCACTTACCAGGCATGATTTCAAAAGAAAAAGGTGAGGCTGGGGCTGTAGTAGTGTTCACCTACCATGAGTGAGGCCCTAGTCTCAATTCTCAGCACTACCAAAAGGAAAAAAAAAAAACAAAAGATCAAGAAATTCAGGTGTTTGCAGGGGAAGGTGTGCAAGAGAAGAGGGCAGAGCCAGGAATGGGAGAGATGGTTTCTAACTAGCATGACCTGGGAAATTCATTCTGGAGAAGAGCTGTCTGAGCTGGATTTGACAGATTATGGAAGACTTCTGTATTCAGGAATGAGGGGGAATTTTAGAATGCTCCTGTGGGGAGCCAGATGGATCTTTCAGGTCCAGACGGGCTGCTGCGTGTGGAGGAAGCAAGCATAGAGGATGCCAAGAAGGAATGCCAGGGCACTGGGCGTTGGTGGTGCACGCCTATAATCCCAGCACTGGGGAGGCTAAGGCAGGGCTGCATAAGTGGGTTCAAGGCCAGCGTGGACTACGTAGTGAAACCGTCTCCAAAAAAAAAAAAAAAAAAAAAGGAAGGCCTGGACTACTTTCCTAATGCCGTAGTATAATTGATTGCACTTTAGGTTTTTTGGTAGTCAGCAAATGTTTGTTTTCAGTCAGCTGAAAATGTTTGCCTCTGTAGTCATCTCCATTATAATGCTTATTGTGTTACCTTGTTATTTTATTTCTCTCCCATAAGTTGCAATTTTGTCCATTTATTACCAAAGTACTATGTGCTGGAAGCATGGGAAGCAAAAAAGGCATGGATGCTGTCCCTGAAGATGGACGTTTACTTGTCTTGATGTCACTGTGACCAAAGATGTAGTGCTGTGAACGTGCGTAGCTGAGGGATGGCACCTGAACTTGGGGCTACGCAAGCTTTAGGTGACCACCTGAAGTGTAGATGGGAGGCAGGGCGTGCTCAACATAGATAGGGGCCTGGTGGCAGGAGCAGTGTGATTTGAGAAATGGAAAGAAGTCCCCGTGACTTGAGAGCTGGGAGTAGAGGAGGGAAGAAGATAGGACTTCAATGGAGAGGGCATAGCTTTGTGGCCTGTGGTAAAGTTGTTAATCCCTATATTGAAAACATTGAAAAGCCACTTTCGGGTTTTTACATGACAGGGAGTGGATGGTGTTACATGTGCAGATACACACTTTTTAATTATTGCTCCGGCCAAAGTGTGGAGAGCATATCGGAGGGATGAGAGTGAACCACCTCAGGTAATGATGACAAACTTTTAGAGCTTTCAGTGGTAGCAAACAGCCCACTGCAGCATATGTGCCGTAGGTTCACCACCACTGACTTGGGGGAGTCATATTAGACTAATGCAGTAGTTCAGGTGAAAGAAAACAGGAGCTTGGATTAGGCTGCTGACAGGAAGTAATGAAGAAGGGCAGGAACTGGAGGATTTGAGACATTTAGAAGTAAAACTGACAGAACATGACTTTTCAGTGGTTCTTAAAATGTGTTGTGGGGGCCCTGGGGAGTCTTTGAGATCTTTTCAGGGTATCTGTCAGGTTGAAATTATTTTCACAATCATATGAACATCTGACACTCATTCTTTCACAAATGTACAGTGGAGTTTTCCAGAGGTTATATGCCTGAAGTAATGTCATTGCTGTAATGATTAATGGAATGTGTGCTTATATATTATGTTTTAAATTTTTCTGAGCTTAAATGGTACAATGGTCCATGCCTGTAATCCTACCTACTCTGGAGGCTGACGGCTGCCTGGGCAAATTAGCAAGACTCTTTCTTAAAATAAAAAGGCCTGAGGTTTTAGCTTAGTAGTCCCTTGGTTTGATCCCCAGTATGGGGTGGGTGGATTCCTGAGCTTGGACTGGGGTATAGCTCAGTGGTAGAAGACTTACCATGCATGAGGCCTTGAATTTAATCCTCAGCCCCACACACATGCACACACACACACACACACACACACACACACACACACACACACAATCCTGGGTTTGATCCTTGGTGCACACACACTCACATAAATATATATTTGTATATGGAGAGTGCACCAAAACATCTATACACACTTAAGCAGTTCACTGTACTAATAAATGTCTGGAAGCTATCGGCCACCACTTGAGCACTTATTGTAATTGTAGAGGCCAAAGGTAACTTGTATTAATCTCACAGTGTCTCATTAAATTTAGTATTAAAGAATTTACACAAGTTTTTCTTTTCCTTATGTATACATTTTTGGCAGAATATCATATATCTATATATATTAATATATGGTATATTTGTGTGTGGTATGCACCTAGGCTGGCCTCAGACTCGCAGAGATCCTCCTGCCTCAGTCTCCTGAGTACTGGGATTACAGGCGTGCTCCACCACTTCTAGCCTAATTTCTTTTTCTTGAGCTTTAATTTCTCATGGGTTGTTGGGACTTAGAAAATGGTACTCCACAACTGGGCATGGTGGCGCGCCCTTGTAATCCTAGCACTGGGGAGGATGAGGCAGGAGGATTGCTGGAAGTTCAAACTACATCCAAACTACAGAGGAGACCCTATCTCAAAAAACAGAAACAAAAGGAAAATGATACTCAAAAGTATAGTGCTTTGGCATGTTGAATACTTTGAATGAAGAACATTGGAAGGGCCCTGTCTCCTATTCTCCTTTCTTCTCCAAGGAAAACCAAAGAAACTAATATTCTCTTTTCCCCAAGGCAGGTCATGAAAATTAGAGCCCTTCCCCTCAAAACCAGTCATAAAGTCTACGTAATATTCCTCTAACTTCCCCCCCTTTCTGTGTAAGAGCTGGCCATAAAGAAATCAACCTCCCTTGTCTGCTAGATCATAAGACCCTCATTCCAGAAGGGTTTTGCCCTATACTTAGGAGGAAGGAATGCCACAGAGAGAAGCCAAAAGCATCTGGACAGGCCTTGTTGGATTTCCCTCCTCCATCAGTTACCATTAGGCATACCCATTTGTCTAATCACATTTCCACACTGTTCATTCTTCGTAGTATCTGAGCATAAAAAGGGACAGTTTTCCCTGGGGGCTTTGTGTCTTCATTCTTTTTTTTTTTAATTGCATATTTGTGAAACATAATTGAATACATTAATCATTAGAAGTTGGTACGTATATATCACATCTTAATCCTTTTACTTCCCCTTCCTCTCTTCTCTGTCCCCTCTTCCTCCAATCCTAGATCCTCTTCCCATCTGCAAATGTCAACTTTCCTGTTTCCTGTAATCTTTTTTTTTTTTCTTTTTATTGAGGTTATTGGTACAATCTAGGTATACAATACAATTACATTCATCATTGGGATTCTCTACCTTTACATAATAGGTCTTGATTCTCATTTTTCCCCTTGTCCCTGCCCTCCCTTCACCCCCTCCTCCCCTCACCATTTACAAACACTTTAATCTTTTATTTTGTTCTTTATTTATATTCTCATATAAGAAAAATCATGATATTTAACCTTTTCTATCTGACTTATTTCACTTAGCACTATCTCAAGGTACA